TAAATTTTAAAATAAAAACAAATCACGGGACGGGTTAAGAAATTACGGAACGAGTTATATTTCGGAAAGGATTTATATGGCGGACGAATTTGAATCAATATTTATATACCGCTTTAATACGGGTTAAATCCTCAATTTATTAATAATTGTCTCGTGGATTCGTGGTATACCGTTACTTAATAACAATTGTAAACTATAATATAAATAAATATGTTATAACGAGATACAATTTACAAAATATTTTTATACTTACTTTAAAATTAAATCATCCCGCGGTGTACCGCGGGTTAAAATCTAGTTTAAGAATTATAAAAGTTAAACAGAATGAAACTTAAAATGGAAAAACAGTACATGCAAAAAACGTAAGAGGTTTTATTGTTAATATGAACAAAACTAGATGATTATCAATTAAGTACATCCTCTTTATTGTAATTCTCTATTTTTGCCTCTAAAATATAGAATTCTATAATAGAGGTGGCTTTTACTCTAATGTATTCCTCTATTTTTTCCTCTAAAAATGAACATTCCATATTATTTCTATTTTTATTTTAGGTTTAATACCTTTATTTATCAAAATTATTGCAAATTAACCCATTTACTTTAACTTTTACAAAACTATGCTATTATTTAAATTAAATATTTATTATTAAAAATACATTGTATCATATAAAAAGAAGAAAACATAGTACATATTGTTTAACCATCGGTATTAGTGTATTTTGTGTAACTATCGGCATTACTGTATTTTAAATTATTATAGAACTAATAAAAAATATAATTTTGATATTTGTAAGACTTTATATAATTTCTCTTTTGGAAATAGTAGTCTCAAATTTTAGAACATATATTTATACTAAAACCTCTAAAATGAAGCCAAAATATTAATTTCATTTATTTTAGTCATAAAAAAGAAATTAAAAGTTAAAGAATTATTTTGTAAATAACAAATTTTAACTCTATTATAGAGATCCTCTATATATAGAACAATAAATAGATATCTCTATTACAGAGGTGGACATAGAGATAGGTTGGAAGGGATTTTACTCTAAAATAAAGTATAAAGATAAATATAGAGGTAGGTTGGAGATGCTTTAATACGTTTATGTTATAAAAAAATTAGATGGCTTTGATACCGGATACGTACTTTGTTTAGAGAAAGTGACATGTAAGTTAACATCTTTGTCATGTTGTAATATAAAGTGGGATTGTTATCATTTTGTATTTTACTTCCCAATGATTTATAAATTTTTATAACGTTTTTGAATTTCATAAACCTAGTGGCTAGCTAGTAGAAACTCTCAAGAAACCTACCCACCTAAAAAGAGAGAAAAACAAAACAAAAAATAGTAAGGCACAATAAACACTAAAACCACCTCTTCTCTTGTATCGCCGACAAAGTTTTGTTCAGTGGCAAAGATGAAGAATCCTTTGCTTTTGGCTCTTTTCCTTGTTGGCACCATCGCTTTACCAGATATAAGCAGCAGAGGAACTCAAGAATTGACCAACGATGGCCTCACCGGCGCGAGTCAAGCGATACTCTCTTTCTTAGACCAAAGACTTGCAGTGGTGTACCCAGTGATCCAGAGATTCAAGTCACTCATCACTCTCGACCCTTATAACGTAACCAAGACATGGATTGGTTCAGACATCTGCAGTTATAGAGGCTTTCACTGTGACAATCCTCCGGACAACACAACCGCAGTTACTGTCGCTTCCATCGATTTCAATGGCTTTCAGCTCTCTGCTCCCTCCATCGAAGGATTTATCGATCAATTCCCTGACTTAGCTCTGTTTCATGTTAACTCCAACAACTTTGGAGGTACCGTGCCTTCCAAGATAGTCAACCTCAGGTATCTCTACGAGCTCGACATCAGCAACAATAGATTCACCGGTCAGTTTCCGACCGCCGTTGTCGGTATGTCCGGTTTGACGTTTCTTGACATCCGGTTCAACTCTTTCTCTGGTTCAATCCCACCACAAATCCTCGGTCAGAACCTCGAGGTTCTCTTCATCAATGACAATGGCTTCACTGCGAGCCTCCCCGAGATACCTGGTGATGGTACTAGTACAACCCACATTATTTTCTTAACTTTTGCAAACAACAAGTTCAACGGTCCTCTACCGAGAAGCATCTTAAGATCAATGTCAACTTTAACCGAAGTACTCTTCTTGAATAACGATTTTACCGGTTGTATCCCTCACGAGATCGGGTTCCTCACGGGGGCATCAGTGATCGATATTGGTGGAAACAAGCTCACGGGTCCTTTGCCGCTTTCCCTAATGTGTCTAGAGAAAGTAGAGCAGCTCAACTTTGCAGGGAATCTATTGTTTGGGGCCGTCCCGGAGGCAGTATGCATGCTGCTCCGGGACAATCTTGTCAACTTATCGTTGTCTAATAACTATTTCACGCATGTAGGGCCTTGGTGTAGGGGTTTGCTTGACAGAGGTGTACTTGACGTTAGTAACAATTGCATTCCTTTCTTCCCAGGACAAAGATCGATGCAAGAATGCGCGGAGTTCTTTGTCAAACCTAAAAAGTACTACTGTCCTCACATGTGGTTCCATAATTTTTTCTCTTGTAGATATTCTCACGTATCTTCTTCCTCTGCTAGTGCTTTCATGCCCATGGTGGCTCCCTCACCTTAATGTTCATTTCAGCGTATTTTATCACTCTCATTGTAAGGAAAAATAATCGAATTATGTTTCGACCTACAAAATTATGGTAACGGAAGGGCCATAATGGTGGTTGTGTTGCAAAATTCATGTATAAGGAGTATAAAGTTTTTTTTTTTTTTTGGGGGCTAGTATGGTTTCCATGTCCATGAATGAGTAAACTAACAGCATCTTGTGTCATGACATACTCATGACTCATGATAAAAAGATAAGGCCAATGTTATGAGTTAAAACTTAAAAGCAATGCCACTAGGATTTCCTCTCTAATGTAACACACGTTTCTATCATGATCTTAGGATCACTTCGAGCTTCTTCAAACCTTTCCTATGATTTCATTTGTTGAATGTGAAATAATTGTGAAACTTTCAACAAAGCGATACCAACAAACATAATTAGTTTTATAAGAAACAGTGTAAAATCTTAATGATAATTTTCATTATATTGAGTGCTAATGTTAGTAGACCCACTGAGGGACCATCATATAAATTATGTGGAGTGGGCACCATTCCTCCACGTCTACTGCATTTGATGGGTTAAAATTTAAATCATTAAATGTACCAAAAAGATAAAGAGAGATGAGTAGAGGTGACCCCATTCCTACCAAACCCATTGACATTTTCTATCGACTTTCTTATTAAAACTCCTAAAAAGAATTAGTAGTCTAAACAAAATCGATTATTGTCTAATCATATATACACTGCATCCAGCTAAGAAAAGGCTTGCCGCAACTACTAAAACAATCTTCTACTTATTTCAAAATATAAGATGTTTTAGTTAAAAATACGTACAAAAAAAATATTTACTATAAAAAAGTTTAATCAATCATGAAAAACACTACATAATATAAATAATTATAAGTTTAATTTATAATTTGCATAAAAACTTGAAAAAAATTTATATTGTAAAACAAAAAACATCCTATAGTATTATAAAACGAAAGAAGTATTATTTTACTAGGTTTGTACCTGTATTATCGGCAGTGTGGAGTTATGATTCTAGAAAACACTTTTGTGGTATTTTTTTGTCAATACCTTTTATAAGTAAAACAGTTCAGAGATCCAACCGGAATAATATTTAATTTTTTACTATACAATTGACTGTAAATAATATAATATGAAATATATGTTTATAAATAGTAAAACAATAACAAGTAACGGGTCAAACAAGCCGAGTATTAATTTTTTTAACTACTTGTTACTTAGCTTGTACTTGCAAGTATCTAAATTATATTACTTGGTATTTGCCTTGACAACAATGGTTACTTATTTTTTCACGGCGGGTACGAGGCAAGTAACGAGTACAAGACGAGTAACGAGTAATCAATCATGCCCATTGGCAGAGATCCTCTTCCTTTGTTGAAGTTTGAGTCAGGATCCACTGAGAATTAGGATATGGAGATTCAGTTAAGGGAGAGAAATTTTATGCTGGAGCACATCAGAGCTAATTTACAGAGAGCTCAGGAAGTTATGAAACGCAATGAAAAGCGATATTATTTAGTGTTTATGGTTGGTGATTAGGTATATTTGAAGTTGCAACCCTACCGACAACAGACGGTGGTTAGCTGGCCTTGCTATAAGCTATCTGCAAAGTTCTTTAATCCTGTTCAGATTGTGGAGCTTATTAGCACTATGGCTTATTGCCTTAAGCTTCCTGATTCCTCGAAAATCCCTGATGTCTTCCATTTCTCTCAACTTAAGGATGTGTTAGGCGAGCAACACTCTGTGCAACCAACAGATCCACCATAAATTATGGAAGATAGACAGGAATCGAAACACAGAAACAAGTGAAGACTTTGATCGAAACTGGAGGGTTTGCTAAAGAAGAAGACTCGGATAGAGAAAGAGTCTTTGCTATTACATAAGAAACTTAAGGGCCTAATTGGTACCAGCTGTAGCTTTACATTTTTTGCTGTAGAGCTATGACTGTAGGTTTATTCGTTGTGGCTGTAGAATTTAAAACTTTAAAAAGTTAAAAGAGAAATTATGTTCTTTAGAAAAAAATGCTTTTTACAGCAAAATTTGAATGAAGGAAATATTTTGACTGTGAGAAAAAAAACGAAAGTCAAAGCTTCTAAAGCTTGATTGGATCTATTTTAAAGCTTTAGAATTTTTTTTGCTTTGTAACGTTTCTAAAGAACTTCCCAATCAAGAGCCATTGTAGCTCATTTGTGAGATTCATGCTTTTATGCTGAGACTTTTGGCTTGGTGATGTGCCAGAGAAGGGATTAATGCTAATATCTTGTAAACGTCTTTGTGTCAGAGCTTGAGAACGATTGATCCTCTTGATGAACACTTTGTAGCTTAGATGAACAAGTAAAATGAATGAAACACTAAATACGGATTCTATTACTTTACAATCAAACACTTCTTGTAATATGAATCTTGCTTTCTTCATGTCTGTTGCTTACTTGGTTTGGAGTTTGCAGCAGCATGTCGGCCATGAGCGTGCGTGTCAGATGAACATACCTCAAAGCCGCACGGAAATTGCTGAAGTACGAGTCTATACTTGACATATAACCAAGAAGACGGTATCGTCTATCAACACAAATGCAAATAATCTTCTGACTACCCTCGAAGACTGAGAGATGCAGCGATAATGTTTCAACTTCAGCCTGTCTTTTCGTGTTAAATCTCGTGCGGGGACTCCAACCGGAAGATAGACAACGCCAACATCCTTGAATAGCAAAGGCAGTTATTTGTAACTTAAGCTTAGAGACTTAGAGTTTCAGCCAATGAATAAACCAAACACACTAATAAAATCATTATCGCAAGAACTGGTTATATCCTCATGGAAACACAACTAACATTTTTAATGCAGTGAATAATGAGGATTGTTTCTTTACGAATTTGAATTTACTAGTACATACTTTTATCAGACCAGTAGAGATTTTAGATACGAAGCTTTAACATCATGAGATTGAGAGAGAAATTGGCTTACGAGAGAGTGTCAGCTACATAGAATATTGGAAGCCTCCCTAAACCTGCACATTTCCATGTTCTTCTCGGGGCCCCAATCGATTTTTCAGGTCCTGATCCTGTAGCAGTTAAAACAAACTGCATACATTCTGTTAACACTGGTTCTGTTAAGATACAGCATACAAGACAGTAAAAAAAGGGAAGAGAAAATCGTTTACCAATGGAAACAAGATGGCCATAAGCGCTCCGCTCACAAGCGGCGAGAGAAAGAAAATGGCCAACACGCAGGGGCTTCCTGAAAACGAAACAAAAGCCAGATTTAGTTTCTCCTTATATCAATGTCGCCAACGGAACCAATAAAGTAGAAAAGATTACCAAAACCAGTAAAGAATGCCCAGTTAGATTCAAAGAAGTCTAGCCTTTTCTCCAGAGGAATCCCCGAGAAGTTCCACTTATATCTGCAATGAGAACCTATAACTGGTGAGTTTTCAAAGTCTAACCAACTTCATTTCCTGGCACCATCGACTAGGCTAAAGTATATGATAGAGATGACAACTTACTCGTAACAATAATAGGCATACATCCACGAAAGAAGTAAGAAATTCAGTATCTTCCCGATGTATGGTATAACACCAACAACATAAACCTGCTTTGTTCAGCCCATTAGCTTATCACATCTGTTATCATAGCCGAATAAGACAACGTATAAATTCAATGGAGATTTGTAACGAGAAACCATTTACCTCTAGAAAAAAAAATGTCAGGAGAAGTATTGAATACACCTGCTCTCCTATACCGATCATCACCCTGAAAAGAATCCATGGCCAAAGGAAATTGATTAGCATCTACAAACAGTTTCTTTCTTTTTGGTTCTGAAGTAGTGACATGGTAGACCAGTACCCTCCAAGACCAGAAGGCCTTTCAGCATTTGCCATATTCAGTGACGTCGGAGCTTCACCTTGTCTTAATGCTTCTGCTGAGCTTACGTCAGAATTTTCAATTGCCTCGAATCCATGCTTTGCAATATCGTTATACCTGAAGATAAGATGGTCCACATGACCTCAATGTTCACGGAATAGAAAAAAGATGGAAACGAGAACTGCAAACCTAGCATAAAGGCATAACTAAAGTAAAGATGCAAGAAGGCTACCAGATGTTACTCAAGATGAAGCTGAGCATGTAGAGAGGATAGAACCAGAAAACCTGTAGCCACAGATAATGGAAAACAGGTGATATGCTTCTTAAGACTGATGATCGAAACAAAAGTTAAAAAGGAAAATACAAAAAAACTCCAACAAGAAGGCTCTACAAACCTCAAAACACTCAATAGACTACTAAATCTCTATGTCAGGTAACATACTTACGTAAAAGAGCTGCAAAAGTCCACCACGTAGAAAGGCGTAAAATCCACCATACGAGCAAAATTCTTGAGAAGTGAGGGGAGAGCACTGATCAGGTAATATCCACTGAAGGGCTGGATCTATAAACCACTTAAACACACCTAAACTGCACCAATCTCAAAAATAAAAACCAAAAGTAAGCTAAAAGTATTGACTTGATAGAACCTATTCATACAAATCTCTCTGCTTTAATTATAAAACTCATCCCAAAATCAATACTTATTCTCTAGATCATAAACTATCAGAAAGTCTTCGTTTTTGAAGCGAAATCGGGTCACTTGTATGCAATCAAGCAACCAAAACAACGGCAAAATAGACCATAAAGATGAAATTTTTTCCTTCCTAAGAAAATCAAACCACTCAAAAGAAAACACTGCCATGTTTGTAATAGAAGTTTTCTCAAGTTAAAAGTATCGAATTGAGCGAATTCAATTCATAACAAGCTCTCTGCTTTAATCAAGTCTCAAACTTTCTATAGTAGATTTGACCCAATTGCAAATTAATCTAACTCATACCAAAATCCAATCTTCTTCTCTGAATCATAAGTCAATCATAAAGTCTTCGTTTTTTTCAAGCGAAATCGGATCACTTATATGCAATCAAACAAAAGAAAGGCAAAGTAGAGAGACCATAAAGATGAAATTTTTACCTTCCTAAGAAAATCAAACCATTCAAAAGAAAACACTGCCCAGTTCGTAATAGGAGCTTTCTCGACCTATACCACCAAATCAAAACCAAACGACTTTAAGATTAGATTGAAATTAAGTTTCTCAATGATCATCAGGAAACGAATTAGTTTGAGAGAGGAACCTGTAACAGAGAATGACAACACGGTGAAGAGAACAAGCTTCTCGAAAACCCTCAAGCCATAGTAACAACACCTGCTTCGATTTTGATCTCATCTGGTCAAATCAAAGGCTTCGCGGTTTCAATTGTTGACAACGGAAGAGATTGAGAGAAGAAGACTTTGAATCAGACAAGCAACAATAAATTAGGTTTTTTTAAGAAAGTGGCTTTAATCAATATATACACATTTTTTGAGATATTTTTAAAATAAATTGTGGAGTTAGAATGTATTTAATTGAGAAAAAAAAAAAAGAATGTATTTACAAAAAATGTTATTGGTGGATCGAAAATTAAATATTTCAACAAATTTAAAATTTTGTATATCGTTTAATTCGATTTTTTAGTTGAAATATTAAAATTTATCAGATATAATAAATATTAAACTTTTAAGAAGTTTTAAATATTATAAAAGATATATTCAAATAAAAAAATTATAATATTATGAAATTTGAACATATAAAAAATGAAAATAATATGAGACGAATTATATTACAGGACATGGTTATATGACAGGGCGAGTTTGAAATTTGAATCAACATTAACAAAAATTTAAAATATCATTAACACGTAGTTCAATACGGATTAAATTCTCATTTTGTTATTTTTAACACCACCAATATTAGACATATCGAATCAAGCTGATTTAGTTAAGATTATATAAAACAAAAATTGTCTCGTGGTATGCTTTTACTTAATGACAATTTTAAACTATAAAATATAAATGTCTTAAAAATGATAGAATTTTCAAAATTTTATATATAATACTTAATCATCAAATTTTAAAAATTACAAATTTTGGAAAACAATTTGTCCTGCAGTACACCGCGGATCACTCTCTTGTTAGATGTGTTTTTATAAACAACATTCTAAAATATAATAGTTCAGCACGGGATAATAAATAATAATGGCGTTATTACGAAAAGAACATGGTTTTTTTAAAATCAACAAATAACAAATTATAAAGTTAGCTATTTTTTATATATTTAAAATGTAGATTATTATTTAAAACAGATTTTTTGGCTGATAAGCTAAAAGAATTACATGGATTAGAAAATATAGAAACCCAAATCGAAACCCTAGCAAAATAAGATATGCATAAAGCAGTATAGTGGAGATGCAGCCCTCGCCTTCTAGATCTGATGCTAACAAAGACGGTTCCTTTGCGGACAAGACCTCGACAAGAAGTCATTGGCTGGTGCTAGCAAATCCCGCCGAGAACAAGCCGAACCAAGATCTCGACAACAAGTCACAACAGTAGATGATGGATGTCGACTCAAACAAGCCATCAATCACCGAGATCCAGTCAAAGATCACCCACGATTAGCCATCTAGGATCCGGCCAATGATCCACCTCTAACCTCTTTGCAAAGTGGCGAACCCACCGATCCAAGCCCAAATTCCACCGCTCGCCGGAGCTACATTTCACAAGCCGCCGAATCGTGAGAAACAAGATCCAATCCACCAGAGTCCTTAAACCAGTAGAACGCAAGAACCGTTTCTCTGGCTACAGTGAAGGAGAGCCGCCGACAAGCATCGAACCATGGACCAAACCATCCCTCACACCACCGGAGAAGATAGTCGCTCACAACCACTTCACCCACCCTCCTACCCAGCAACTTGCGATGAAGACCTTTAAATGGAAAAAAGAGAGAAAAAACGAGAGTAGATCTAGATTCTGCACCGTTTTTAGGAGAGAGAAGAGGTTTTTCAGAGAGAACGATTGTCACTGTTTTTCTTAATCGGATTTTGCACCGAACGAAGTTAATGCGGTTCTATTCTTCAGCTACTTTAATTTTATTTGGTATTCATTTTATATAAACTTTTTCACCTACTAAAAAAAATTGCGATTGAAAAGTGAAACACAGTAACTATTTTCTTCATTGACCCCCATCTTCTCCGATTGTTTAAGGGTCGGCTGTTGGCGGTTCCTGTTTCTTCTCTTTGATTTTACTTTTCTTTCTCTTTTAAAATAAGTTAAGTGTTTCTTTTTGTTCTTGATTTCGAAGTCTGAATTTCTTCTTCTCTTTTGTAAAGAAAAATCAATTATGTGTGGATTCAAAGCGTCTCTATTCAACATCCATGGCAGATGATATACAATATTTGACGGCTATGCTGTATTTATCCCGGCATATTTTCCCATTATATAAATATCAATTCTAACATTTATTGTTAGAATTGTATTAGTTTCTGGTGGTCATCCTGATTGGTTGGTGGTTTTCTAATGTTTAAAATAAATCTTCACAAATTTGTTGTGAAAACGGCGACTGCCTTGGAAACCGCCATGGAGTCAAATCATAAGGACCTTGCATTTCTGGTCGTTGAAGAACGTTAACAAGAGAATCGAGATCAGGGATCTATCATGGGTGATATTTACAACCAAAAGAATGTCATCACCTAACTTAGGAGATGGAAATGTTTGAAGGTTTGCGATGTAACTGAAAGATCACAACCTATTGTTATTCAGAAAACGTATCAGAGTTTCATAAAAGAGATGATAGCCAAACAAAAAGATCAAATTAGACCGTAGACGAAGACGATCAAGGAAAATAACAGATTTATCAATATGTTAGCGTGTAAGCCTTACCTAAGAAAGGAAGCAACGTGTAGTTTCAGTTTTCCGATTATTTCGTTCAACTTAAGTATTGGTTGTATGGATTGTTGAACTTTCACGTGTATGCTCATTGATATATTTGTAATCTTTCATTAAGCTTATTAAAGAAGACGTTTAAAAAAAAAAACTAATTGAATGGTTATAAAATATTAAATAAATGTAAATTTTGTCAAAAAAAAACCAAATAATATGAAACAAACTAAAACATCTTATAAAAAATAACAAATGGAGTATTGTGTTAAAAATAAATGGAGTATTATTTAAGATTATAAAATTATTGGATGAATTTGCTACATATTCAAAAGATTGGAGGACAATCTCAATAATACCATTATTACGTGACTGATACACGTCTCAAAAACATGAAACACACGGGAACAAAAGACTCAAAGGCTTGTTCTGAATGAAGGAAGATGATTGTAGCCAGTTCGTGATTCAATCAACAATCACAATAACATATGCTTGTTCTGTTCCTCACAAAAAGCTAAATTTCACATGAATCCTAAGTGAATGAATCCACAAAACAAAAAGGACTTCATAAAGAGAACAAATCGAAAGACATATAAAGCGTTTTGAAGCAAAACAAAAGTTCTTAGATTGATAAAAGCATGAACTAAAAGTACAAAGTTATGGAATTTGTATAGACTCATAAATAAGACCTCCAACGATCAGAAATATGCCAAAAGAAATAACAATATAAGCAAAACTCAATCTAGCCGTTACACTTTATTGGAGATGGTTTGTGACTGATGGTCGCAAAATGTGTGATCTCTTTATGGCCTTTAGGGTGCAATGGACGTCTAAGATCAATTGAGATGATTGGTGGATCTATGTAACATGTCCATATTTTGAAATATGATATTGCATGAAGTAATATTACAAAACAATTTTGGCTTTATATTACCAAAGTGCACTTAAAACTGAAACCCATCCAAAAATTAAAAAATATTGGTTTGGTCTAGTTCGGGTGCCTTGGTTCGATTGTTTATTCTCTATAACTAGGTATTCAATTGGTTGGAGCCTTGTTCTAAAAAGCAAGTGAAGTTGTTGCTAGATAAACTCAATTTCAGGAGAATTGAGCTTACGTCATGTCTAATTTTTTCTAAGATATCTTACCATTTACGCACAAACAATTAACTAAAAGTTAATTATATGATTGTTTTGGAATATTAATAATAATTATATAAATTTATGTAAATGATAAAAAAATTATTTTAAAGATACGAATGCTTCCACTCATATTGGTTAAGGGTTTAAAAGCTTCTATACCAGGTCCAACGTTCAAATCCTAGATAACACAATTTCTTGCAGATTATCAGTGCAAAATTTATCGAAGGTTCCAGAGTACTACATCGAGAGCCGTTCGTCGTGGTGTCGTGTGCTGCGGAGAGAGTCTGTCCATCGAATGTCATATATGTAGAACCGTTTGTCGCGGATCGCAGTGTTGCGGGGAGAGTTGCATCGTGAGATCATTGTTTGTGGAAGTTGTTCATCGTAATAGCATATGTTGCAGGTATTCTACATCATAATAGGATTAGATCAAATATTTCTAATGATGATGTAATACATGATAAATAAAGAATACGAGTTCAACAATTCTAAAATGTTAATAAACATATTGATGTTCTAATTTTAGATAAGTAATTAACTTAAATTAGAATCAAAAGTAATATAAAAAATTAAATGCACCTAAAATCTTGAAACACACACCATCTATAATGCATAGTTTTTAATCTGTATAGGATTCTTAATTTAAAAGGATCTTATTTCAAATATGATTTGATTATGCCTTCTTATGAATTGCAAATTTGGCATGTTGTTTTATTAGGTAAATCTTGATAAAATGGAAATTTGACTTTTGTTCTATGTGATATATTATTTTCTAACGTTATTTGTACTAAGTGGTGATTGAGCTGTTTCCATGTGTAATAAAGAAAAAAATGTTATAGTCATGGAAAATTTTCTATAAGAAGAAGATGTGTTGTGTTTTTCAAAAGACATACAAGATTGTTGTTGAAACAGATTTTGTGATAGCTTAGGTTTGGAATGGTGGCAGCGGGTCAGATAATACATAATAATTATATTAAGTGGTGTGATGCGGTTAAGTGGACTTTGTTGAAGAGAACACAGTATCTATGGATAATGTTCTAATGGTAAAATAATTAGCATGATGTGTAGTGTAAATATTTTTGATAAATATTTTAAAATTTAAAATGAAATAGTTGAAAAAGAAATAAAATAGTAAAATTTATACAATTCTAAATTTAAATTATAAATTATAAGTGAAATAGTTAAAAATGATAGATATTGGACTGTACGGGCTTACTATACATGTCCGAAACTGGATGTTGTTTATAAAAACCTCATTTAGAGGCCTTTTGAGACATAAAAAAGGCCCATTTGCTTCGGAGAAATCGGTACACATAATGTAAACCGGTACAAACTAAATAGAAATACTGGTTATAATCCGGTCCACAAATCGGTATAAACACAGTAGCAATCGAACCGGGACTCCATTATCAAAGTAATGTGCTTAAGTAAGGTCTCTCTTCTCTATCGTTCTTTCCCAAGAACCCTAATCTTCCCCAAATCCTGAATCCATCGTTCTCAAAATTCACAAAGGAACCACCTTTATCGAAAGAAATCGATGGATCATCACAACTATCAATATCAAAATCCTTTCGAGAGACGACCCATCCTTAAATCCAAAGCTCCTGCTGTGAAGTGGATCAAAGAATGGTAATTTTCTGATTCCGTCACTTATTAGATTACGGATTCTTAATTTTTATCCTTTGTTTTAGGGTACCACAAGATATTGTTGCTACAGGTGGCAAGTGTTATCTACACAAATGGGTCACAGGTGAGATTTAAAAAAGTGTAATGTTTTATCTAATTTTCATGTTTGTGATGTAATTGTATCATTGTGTTGTTGTTATAGAGGATACTTTTAACAGACTTAAAGAAAAAGAGAAAGAGCCTGATGTTCCAGAGCCTGAACCTGAACCAACTACAGAGATTTTGTTTCTCTGTAGTTATGATGGATGTGGGAAGACTTTCTTTGATGTTAGTGCATTGAGAAAACATTCTCATATTCATGGAGAAAGACAATATGTTTGCGATCAGGAAGGATGTGGAAAGGTTTAATAATATTATCCTCTTTTTGGTTGGCTTAAACACTCACTTTCATGATATATTGAAGCCATCTTGTTTTGTTTTCTGTAACAGAAATTTCTGGATAGTTCAAAGTTGAAGAGACATCATCTTATTCATACTGGAGTGAGAAATTATGTATGTACTTATGAAGGATGTGGAAAGGTGATTGATTTGATCACTCTCACTAGCTTAGTTTATTTGGTATATGATATGTAATTAGGCAATGGGACCGTGTTACGTGTTATAGTAACTTTCTGTAGATGATGGATGCAGGCATTCTCCTTGGATTTTAACCTCAGGTCTCACATGAAGACTCATTCACAAGAGAATTATCATATATGTCCATACAGTGGATGTGGAAAGAGATATGCTCATGAATACAAGCTGAAGAACCACGTTGCTGCCTACCATGAAAAGGTATCATTACTCATTCGATAGATTGTCATGAAATACGTTTTTTTCTTGTGTTAAGACAGAGCAGCTCCTTAGTCAGGGTCTATCAAAGTTCAGGAGAAATTGTGTTACTTTGTGACTGCAATGTTATTTTCTTGGAAACCCGTTTTTCGTTACTTTTTACGCTTGGGTGTAGTTTTTCTTTGCTAGAGGTTGGCGTAACTACTACTGTTAAGGTTTCAGTAATCTCACTCGATGCTAACTTTCTTTCTGGAGTAGAGAATTCTAATTGATTAGAAGTCGCATGATTAGAATTTTCTACAACCTTCTTACGGTATCTACACTCTATTAGTAGGTTGAAAGTTTCAGACGACACATAGGCAGAACAATGCATTGGTTCTTTCATGTTTACATCCTTATAGTATCCATATTTGTAAGCATCTTAGAACTTACCTCTCTCAATTTCACAACCGGTTTAACAGAATGGTGCTGGAGAGACGCCCAAATATACTCCACCTGCAGAGAAAGTATCAAGGACTGTCAAAACACCTGCAGCAGTTTATGGCCCGTCTTCGGATCGACCATACGCATGCCCTTACGAAGGGTGTGAGAAAGCTTACATACATGAGTACAAGCTTAAGCTCCACTTGAAGAGAGAACATCCAGGGCATTTACCAGAAGAGAACGCGGATACCCCAACACTGAACAAGCACAACGGCAGTGACAGGAATGATGTGGATGATGGGAGTGACCAAGATCTTTACAGGAAACATGCTAGTAACGGGAAAAGCCAGACACATAAACAACAGAGCAGAGCTAAGCCAAACATGAGGACACCACCAGCCAAAGTTGGAAAGAAAGGTTCAACCTCTTCGCCTGCCAAAGTGAGGATTGCAAAAAAACCATGGCAAGCGAAAGAAACTTTTGAAGAAGTAGAAAGAGAAGAAGAAGAAGATAGCGAGGAGACAGAGGAAGATAGAGATAATGTGGATGACGGCTGGAGGTTTGGCGAAAACAACGAGGAGGATGATGACGATGAAGAGACCGAGTATGAAGACTAGTTTGAGCTTCATCTAAGCCATAGGAGACCTTTTACTTACGTCCCATCTCAATATGTGAAGGTGACTTTAGTAGCTTTGTTTCTTGACTCTTCTTCTTTTCGGTTGCCTTTTACACTCTTCTTCATTTTAAAGCTTTGTATAGTATTCCGTTAACATTTTTGGAAAGCTTTTCTTTTAGTTTTGGTCAACTTTTTGAAAGCTTTTCTTATAAATTACAATATTGAATCCCAACATATCTTCAATGTCGTTTACATTTGAAACAATGCAGGTTTTGAATTATGTCTAATGTAATTTAAATTGTCTAGGAAAGAATGTTCTCTTGTTAGGTTATGATGATGGTGAATGAAGTTATCTTAGTATTGTTGGTACTGTTTTACTTTATGTAGGTAATGGTCGAATATGCACGGTATTTTTGATTTTGTTAAGTGGAGAGATTATGATTGTGTAGTAAAACAACCATTATAAATATATTCTCTTTTTCTTTTTACTAGGTGAGTTCTCTCTTTTGCTAAATTGGGATTGTATTAGAGAAGTTTGCGAAATTTGGTAAAGGTCTTTTACCAAAAAAAAAAATTTGGTAAAGGTGATTGTTGTGATTTCACATGAAGATCAAGGTTAAACAATAACACAAACAACCCTGCATAATCGTCCAATTTAGCGTACCCAATAATTCCTTTGTTAGATAGCATCACAGAAATACTAGCACGATGGTTTTATAAGCCTAGAGAATTAAGTGCAAAGAATCGCGATCTCTTAACTAGTGTTGGCCTAGTTAATTATGAGGCCCAATATAAAACAATTTTTTTTAATGGGTTTTATCAATAAAAGTTAAACCTTGAGACCAAATCTTAACACTTCAGAAAAATAAGGCCTGTTTTTGCAATAAGAAATAGATAAATTTAAAATTTGAGACAAAATCTAAACATTTTGGAAAACTATGGCCTATTTTTGCAATAACAAATTCTTTTGAGGTTAATATTGTTACTAAAATTTTAAAATTTTTGGAGGCCCAATACCCATGTGTCTATGTGTGGCGGGCCGGACCTACTTTTAACTATTGAAATGAAGAAAAAGATTTCAAGAAGGATAGAGAAAGGTAAAATGTTTGAAATTTATCCAATTACGAGATACAGATTTCAGGTGAAAGGTAAGACAAGATAACAAAGAAGAATTCGAAGACATGAAACAGTGGAAGACAAGATAAGATCGTCACAAGGATCAAAACATTGTAATCAGTCCCTGCTCTAACAATCGAGAAGCCTTAGGGCGAATTACAAAAATGGCCTTTTCAAGCAAGCTAAAAACAAAAACCATTTCATATAATCATGTCTTAAGCTCCATGTCTTCATCTACCACATTGCTTTATATTGCGTCATATCTCATGCTTCCTTCTTCCGTTGGATCTAAAACAACAAAACAAAACACAATAGTTATTTCGAAATAAAGAAACGATTTTGACGAGCTCTAGTCGACGCAAACTCATGAATGACAGTTTCAAAGTCTATGCTTTCTAACAAACTTTTTTCAATGCATAGAATAGCTAGACCATTCAATCTTTGTTGAGACATAGAGGACCTTATATAATTTTTTAATAACTTCAATCTTGAGAAGCTTCTCTCGGCCGAAGCTACCGTGACGGGTGTTGTTAAAAGGATTCGATAAGCAATTGAAACATTTGGATAACAACCTCCATTTTCTACAAACTCAAGCACTTCACTAGGTGTCATTGACACTTGGGATATAGTCATTTGCAAAACTTTTAATTCTGAAAAAATCATTAAAATCAACATCCGAGACATTATCATGAGAAAATGTTTTGTGAAAATTAATGCAATGCTCTTTTAATTCACTTTTATCAAGTGATTTTAATTTCAATGAATCAAACAAAAATCCAAATACACTTTTAAAAGTCATCATTTGTTCAAATCTATTCTTTACCGAAGAAATTATCATATCCACAACAACAAGAAAATAATTGACTCTAAAATCATCTTCAACCGATAATGCTTCTTTATCATGATCATTCTCATCAAAATGTTTTTTTCTAAAGACACGATGTCTACTTGGAAATATAGGATCACCATTCATATCATGAGCAAGACCTTGAGCTACTTTCAAACAAGAACTAAACCCTTCATCTCGATACTTTTCAAAATAGAAGATTATACCTTCTAATTGTTTTATAGCACTATCAATGCATATCAATTTGGATTGTAAGTTCTTGCTTACCGTGTTCATGACACACAAAATTTCATACCAAATAGTCATACCAAGTAAAAACTCATAATTCTCAAGTGAATTTACTAAACTTTCCGTTTCACTTTTTGTTATGGCATCATCACATGATTCATATAGATCGATTATAGCTAATCTCACTTGAGGAGCTTGAAACCTTATAGCTTTGACACTTTTTATTCGGCTTTCCCATCGAGTATCAGAAAAAGATTTCATAGTTAAGTAATGAACATGATCAAGCAAAATTTTCCATCTTTTTGTAGAGCTAGAAAATAATACATATATTCGTTGCAATGCTCAAAAAAAAAGAAATAGCTTTCACACAAGAATGAACCATATCACTTACTACAAGATTTAGGCTATGACTAGCACAAGGCATATATAATGCTTTTGAGTTAATGTCTAGCAACCTCTTTTGAACCCCTTGATGCTTTCCTTTCATATTGGACCCATTATCATAACCTTGACCTCTCACATTTCTAACATCGAGATCTAGAGATTTAGCGCATCAATTATTCTTTCAAAAATACATAATCCGGATGTATCATCTATAATAAGAAACTCTAAAAATTACTCTTCTACTTTGACCTTCTTATCTAAAATCCTTACACATCGTACTATTAAAGTCATTTGTGCTTGGTGCCTTATATCCGGGTACAATCAAGAATGATAGAAAAATATTTTGCCTCTCTTATGACTTTCTTAATAGAAAATTGAAGTTTATGAGCCAAAAGAGAGATCAATTAATTTTTAATATTATGACTAAGATAATGATGATGTATTTCACTAGTATGAATGCGCCTTATATGGTCTTGCATTATTACATCAAATTCGGCCATGGATTCAATCATACCTAAGAAATTACCATTACTATTTTAGTAAAGTTTTTCATTTGACCCATGAAAAGCTAAATTTTTTTTAGCAAGACACTTTACAACCGCAATAATTCTAATCAAAACAAGCCTCCACCTTTCTTTCTCTTTTATAATTTCTCTTTGTAATTCTTTATCAATAGTTTAATTTTTCGCTAATCTACCTAGCATTTCATTCCAAGTTTTCATGTTAGCCATATGTTCTCCACTTCTCTCATGCTTTTTAAGTCTCTCGCTAAGATGCTTCCAATCATTTAATACATCATTTTCTAGCACACTTAAGTAACCATGAGATTTTAACAATTTGCAACAAAAACAATAAAATTTATTCACATGTTTCGCATAAACTAACCACTTCTATCACAAGTTTCTCCATTACTGAATTTTCTAGAATAATAGTGATATGAGAAATGTCTATAATACTTATCAAGTGGAAAAGTCAAATTTAATTCTCTTTTAGGTCGACATGCAACTAACTTATCTCTAGTTTTATTATCAAGATTTTCCCAATATTTAGGATCAAAAGTATCAAAATGAAATTTTTGTTGTTCATGACCATTCAAACTTTCAAGTAAAGATGCATTTCACACATTATCATGCTCACTCAATCTATTAGAATCATTATCGATACTCAAGGAAAAATTTTCTTGCTCATGAACATTCAAACTTTCAAATGCATTTGGACCATTATTATTGGAACCATCGATTAATTCATTCACGTTTTCAGTTTGTTGAGAAACGCTAGCATTATCATCTAGTTTTTTAACAAATTTATCCATAGCCCCTCTTAGGAATTGAATAAACAATTCATCTCTTTTTCTTTTCTTTACTTTGTCATTTTAACACAAAACCATGATCAAAAGTCAATTTTAATAAAAGATAGCACCTGGATTAACAAAGACGAGGCAGTGAGCGGTGGCAATTCCAATTAACAAGAATTGATGTCGCCAAAAACCAAGTGGAAGCACCTAGAACAATAAACAATTCATAAAAAAACGATTAAAAATAAATTAAAATATATACTAAGTATTTGAAGAAAGACAAAATTTAGATCTAGTTAACGTGCGTTCTTTTTGCTTGATTTAAACCAAAATCAAACAAGGACAAAAAATTATCTATTATACACAAGGTTTCTCCAAGCTAAGATTTTAACTTTGTGAGCAAGTATTTAATGTTTATCCATTTAGTACTATATATATGTTTGGTCGACGTTGTAAAGTGGAAGTAAGAGAAGTAGAGGAAAGAATGTTATCTCTCATACTCTCTCGTTCTCTACCTCTTTCTCTTTGTCTCTTTTCATTTTCATTATATAATAATATTACCTCAAATTTATATACATATATGATAGTTAGAGTTATTATTTATAACACGTTATCAGCACGAACTGAAGTTTTATAAATCGAAGACACCCACTAGCTAATACAAAATAAAACAGAGAATCTGAAATTCTGAATTATAAAATTGCAAATCATCCAAAACATACAAAGTTCCAATTAGAAACAAGTTTGTTATAGTCCGCCCCGGCTCTAACAATCGAGAAGCCTTAGGGAGACTTACATAAAGAGCATTTTCAAGCATGCTAAAAACAAAAACCATTTCATATAATCATGTCTTAAGCTCCATGTCTTCATCTACCACATTGCTTTATATTACGTCATATCTCATGCATCCTTCTTCTGTTGAATCTAAAACAACAAAACAAAACACAAAAGTTATTTCAAAAGAAAAAAACGATTTTGACAAGCTCTAGTCGACGCAAACTCATGAATGACAGTTTCAAAGTCTATGGTTTCTAACAAACTTTTTTCAATGAATAGAATAGCTAGACCATTCAACCTTTGTTGAGACCTAGAGGACTTCATATAATTTTTTAATAACTTCAATTTTGAGAAGATTCTCTCGGCCGAAGCTACCGCCACGGGTGTTGTTAATAGGATTCGATAAGCAATTGAAACATTTAGATAAAACCCTATATTTTCTACAAACTCAAGCACTTCACTAGATGTCATTGACATTAAGGATAAAGTCATTTGCAAAACTTTTAATTCTGAACATCCGCGACATTATCATGAGAAAATGTTTTGTGAAAATTAATGCAATGCTCTTTTAATTCACTTTC